TTTAAATGAAAGAAAAAGGTAAGTCTTGAACTGTGGTCGAAGCGGAAATATAATTGACTGACATGAGGAGGTTCTGAAAGTAAGTTCTGCTAAGTGAGTAGAACCGCAAACATGCTAAACTGAGTGTCTAGAGTTTAACCCCGGTACCGGATGAGTTAAACCATCTAATTTATCCAAAAGTCAGTGATGAAAGTCGGAGGCTTTGAAATTCTCAAAAAAAAAAAATTTTATGACGCAAAGATATTATGGTATTTAAATAAAATTTTGTTTTGAATATTTTTGAAATGAAAGAAAAGATAACTCTTGAAGATCTTTGGTCGAAGGGTAAAGTAAATTGACTGACTTTTTAATTCAGTTTTTAATAAATGTAAATACATAAACTCATTTCGAACGAGCATCAGTAGTAATTCTTGTTCTTTATATTGGAAAGATAATATTTATAATAAACGTTTTCATATGTTGGATAAATATAGTGCCATTTTACACCACTTACAATAAAAAAAATAAATAGGTTTATTTTAGTTTATAAAAACAGAAAAAAGTAGTAAAAAAATTAAAAGCATATACATTAGTCCGCTTTTCTTAAGACTTCCTGTTCTTGACAGGAAACATGTACAGGAAACATAAAGGGTTGTTTCCTCAATCTTATTATTTGTATACATTGATATCTTCAAAAACTGAGGTATATAAACATCATTAAGTAGTAAAAAACAATAAACAGTATCAATAGCTTTTAATATTTATATCGTTGGTATTAATCGATGAAATATCAATTGCATTGTATTTATCTCTGATATGAAACCCTCATGCATCAGTGTTTTATTACTAAAAAAGGCTCTACCAAAGAAGTTATGAAACATTACATCAAACCAAAATGAAACATAATGCTTAGAAAACACTGTTTTTTACTCCACCAATGAAGGGTTAAAATTCGTCTTAACATCTTGCTATGTGAAGAAAAAAAAGGACATGTCAACTTTGAAAACACCAACATTCCGAAAATCAGTAAGCATATAGTTGGAGCCCGGAGACTCCATAAAGCTATCAACATCAAAGATTTTTCTTCGTTTGTTGTCGTGTGACCTATATTAGAGCACGTGTCTGAGCAGATGTTATTAGTTAGTGATCTGTATTTTGAGTTGATTAATGGTCTTAAGCTTTTCAATACGTCCAACAACAATGACGTTGTACGTCCAACAACAATGACGTTGTACTCTCACCTCTCGGCCTTCTTCCAACGGTCATCATTAGACTTATTGACAAGCTTTCGACCATTAAACTATACATAACAATTGTGGTAAATCTTTGTTGCCTTGACTGTAAATATGTTGAATTTCTTGTTTCAAGGGAAATAACTCTTGCTTCATATATTGAACTTATTATGTTGTAGGGCATAGGTTCCATCCAAATGTATACATTTTATTGTTTTTAGAGCTTGCTTTTACGGATGGTAATGGCTGACAAATATGTTTAATATTTATACATTATTCGGGACTGTTATTGAGTAAGGCCTCATCGTTGCAAAATTGATTTGATTTTGTCCACAACTTTTTTTCATTAAAAGAAGAATGCAATAGACCTCTTCCGAGATAATCATTAGTATAGATATATGAGGTTTTGCACAGTCGAATTTTCGTATCGTTCGTATGTCGCACTTATATATATTATAAAACATATAGATTTAGATTATATACTTTTATAAAATATAAGGTGGTAATTAAGAATACTCTGCTTAATACTCACTTAAGTATATTGTATGAAAACACCATCATACCGACAATCAGTAAGCATATAGCTGGAGTCCGGAGACTCCATAATGCTATCAACATCTGAAGATTCGTTACCAACCTGACCTCATTGTGAACAGATATACCGATTTGGTTAAACAACTTGCAATAAGAATAAAAAGAGGACAGCAACAATACGAAGCTGAGCGAACCTATAATTTTTAATATCCATAAAAAGGATAATATATATTTTAGATTAACAAAATATTTCAGTTGCAGCAATAGATGGTTATGATATTAAACATGTAGTTCTTTTCATTAATGGCTCTAATATCAGCAATAGTCGTTTATTTAATCATTAATTAGTGTTAATTACTATCTGTAAAATTTGTACCTGATATTGTACGCTATAATGTGATGTAAATTATTATATACTGTACTAAAACACTACTTATCTCTGGCGTTTGGTGCCCATATGTATGAATATCTATAGTTAAGTTTTTAATTATTATGTGTCCCAGGACGAAACGTATAAGTTGAGCTTTATATTGTTGTTCTTGGAAACCGTGTACATTTTTAGCAAAACATACGAGGTGAGATTGAGGATAGATAAAATTTGGATAAAACTTCAGAATACGAGTACATGTACATGTACATGTATAAGCATTTTTGCTGATAATGTCAGATCGGTCGTTGACTATTTGGTACCAATTATGACAAATCTTCTCACAACATTTGGACTGATCAAAGCGAAATACGTGTATACTGTCATTTTAAAATACTGATGTGATGATCTTGGCGTACCGGTACCATTATTCTACAAAATTGTAGTGGTAAATGCAAAAGCATCGATCTAAGATTTATGCTTCAATAATATATAGGGAGACCAACTGCGTTACAATTGGAATATTACCCTTATCAAGCTTAATTTTGATCCCAACCTATATCAGAGACGAATTTCGATAGCCGAATCTGAGTATTTATGCAATTGTAAGAAATTAAGCGCTAACATTTAGGTCAAGCCAAGACATGAATAATTCTAACAGATCGTCCTTATCACTGGCCATGAAACGCGTATTTTTAAATTTAAGTCGATTCTGAAATACTTGAAATAAGGAAAATGGAAAAAACTGACCTGTAAACATGTATATTCAAATTTTAATCCATGAATCGCAGTCCAGATTTGGGATTTGTACATTTGGAAGAATCAAACCTTCCCTACCCCGTAATCAAATAGGTGTATTTTTTATCAATCCCGAAAGTACATCTTGAAAGATTTTCTGCGTTTGTTGTCATGTGACTTATATTAGAGCACGTGTCTGAGTAGATGTTATTTGTTAGTGATCTGTATTTTAGTTGATTAATTTCAATACCTCTAACAAAGATGAAGTACTCTGATCCCCGGTCCTCTTCCAACGGTCATGATTAGACTTTTTGACAAGCTTTCGACCATTAATCTACACATAACAATTGTGGTAAATCTGTGATAGGGTGTATTTTTAAAGAAACTTGGTTCTTTTATTTATTTGTTATCTTCTCTAAATACACCACTACTGTTTTTATAAACACCTAATTACATTACACTGGCCTTATACTATAACTAATTATTGCCCTCTCTTAATCTCTTTAACTCAACTGATCTCACTGGACCTTGTCACCTGTCATTGGCCAACTGGGTGAGTTTTTAGTGAGTTTCATCACCTGTCCAGTCAGAAACTTTACTTTTACCTAAGTCTTTAAAGAAGAAGGAAGTATATTTCAACCTCTTTGAAATACTGAATATCTACTTCTTTATTCTTTTTCATCACCAGTTATTGTCTTCTAATAACTTCACAGGTATGTGTGTTTTGGTATTTTATTGGGTAATTGTCTTTCTGGGAAACTATATTTTGTATGAGAGGTGTATAAATGTAACCATGGTATTTTAAGCAACAGCAGCCATCTTGAATTTGTATGCTTTGGGATCCTTTGTGTTCAATATATTCATAGTCTGTTATTTAATTCCTAAGCGTTATAATTACCTTTTAATTATAATTACATTCACAGGTTTAGTCATTGCATATTAAGTTTAACATATATTAATAGTATAGAAGTGTAAATAGGTATTGTGCATTTACTGTGATAATATTTATGTGATAAATCATTATTAAGATATAGTATTTTATTATTGTATTATATATCTAATTGTATCATACTATTATTACAGGGTTTTATTATTAAAGTTATCAACTGAGAATATCGTTTTTGATATAACAACTGAGCTCGCTTCCCCCCTGAACTAGCCCGGCTAGAAATCAGTGTTGCCTTGTCTGTATATATGTTGAATTTCTTGTTTCAAGGGAAATAACTCTTGCTTCATAAATTGAACTTATTATGTTGAAGGGCATAGGTTCCATCCAAATGTATTAAAAAGAATAAATTTCATTGTTATTAGAGCTTGCTTTTACTGATGGTAATTTCATTGTTTTTAGAGCTTGCTTTTACGGATGGTAATGACTGTCAAATATGTATAATATCCATACATTATTCAGGGCTGTTTTTGAATAAGACCTCATCATTGCAAATGTTTTGATTTTGTTCAGTAAACGATTGCTTCAATTAACTTCTTCCAGGGAAATCATTAGCATAGACATAAGATGTTATGCTTATTCAAATTTTGTTGTCGTTCTATGTCGCACTGAAATTTTAAAATAGAATGTAGTAATAGCGAATACCCTGCTTAATGCTCAAAAGCAAGGATATTATATGAGCATTATCAATATATTTATCAGTTCAAAGTTTGATAATTATTGAACAAGTAAATTTGGGAAGTTTGATAGTCTTGAACAAAAAGTTTGAAAGTATAGGACAAGTTAATCGGGTAGGCCTAAGTATTGATCAAGTGAATTAGGTCATTTTCAAGGTATTTAACACGATTAATGTTAAATTAATTGAAAAGA